ATATGTCTCTATTGTTAATATTTAAATTACTTTTCTTTTTAAAAGTATCTTATAAAAAATGAACAACTAAACCTAAAAATATGATGGGTTGAGAGAAGGCAAAATTTATGATTTCCTTAGAATAAGTTCTTGGTTTAAAATATACTTGGTCAAAATGTATAAACAAGCCTTTGGTCCTGATTCATTTGAAAAACTGTTGTTTCCAATTATGTTTTTATATAAATAAGAGATACAGTTTCTTCAAATTCAGGCCATTTCTATCTATATGCCTATGGGTCTGTATATCTATCCATCTGTCTTTTACCTACCTATCTAATTAATAAGTTATTAGTCACAAGGAAAGGGAAATGTAGTTTTCTTTAAGCCTTATGAGGGCTGAATCATTGTCTAATGTATTTGTCTGTCTTGCACTTTCTCCTTCATGATCTATCTGTGCAGGTTTGGTGTTGTTGCGAAGCTGTTATTTAGTGTTATGGTGTGTATGTGTGTCTCTGGTTATACACCCGTTACTGTTTATATCTGATGGCCTGTAGTGCAAATCACATAGCAGAAAGTATGGGTGTATTATGAGACCCCCAAAATAACTTGTCTCTGGTGAATTAATGCCATTTAGCCTCATAAATGAAAGACCCCTTTTCATGGATAGTAAGATGATAATTGCACATGGAATTGGGAAGGGTTTTTGCAGATAACAAAGCTAGTGGTTTCATGGCCAGGATAATGTGTTCAACAAGTCTCATTCAAAAGAGGAGTCTAGCACAGCATTTTATATCAACTGCAATCTCTGAACAGCACAATCTGGGAGACCCACGAAGACTGAATTACAGCAATCAGCCTTCAAAATGACAAAAGAGTTAATCAGCATCTCCTTGCTTTTCTCATGAAGCCTCTCAATCTGGTGATATCACAGAAATTATAAAAAGAAGTCTTCATGACAGATACAGAATGCTTTTCAAATGATAACACTAAAGACAATGGGAAGAAAGAAAAAAAAAAAAACAAGTTTTAAATTTTTGAGATGCCTGAAACTTTATTCTAATCAGAAGTACTCCCTGGATAATGAGACATAAAGAACAGCTGTTTAGCACTTGGAAGAACTTAGGCCAGTCTAGGATTTAAATTCTTAAACTTTTGCACCAGAGAAATCTCCATTTGATTGAAAAAAGTGAAGATAAAATGATAAAACCATGTCTTTTAAATACAGGAGATCAGTCTATTCACAGCAAGGTAATGAAGGACAGTTTCAGAGCAAGAGATGATCCCCCTTTCCATTTTAATCCTCCTACCAGAGTTCACCCCTATCCCTTGTCTTCCACTCCCCAGTGCCAGCTTCAAATCTCTATTGAATTAAATTCATGGAGAATAGAGGGAGCTCATTAACTGAATTTTCTGATTAGAGCCGATTTTCAAAATGGAGTTCCAGGGATACCAGAGTTCACCCCTATCCCTTGTCTTCCACTCCCCAGTGCCAGCTTCAAATCTCTATTGAATTAAATTCATGGAGAAAAGAGGGAGCTCATTAACTGAATTTTCTGATTAGAGCCGATTTTCAAAATGGAGTTCCAGGGAAACTCTTCTAAAGTATAATTGTTTGCATTTCCTCATGTGAATCTACTGTGCAGTTAATGCTACTGAGGGTCCACTAGGGCTGGCATGTCCTCCTGAACACCAAGTGTGTGGTTTTCCCTTCTCAAAATTGCAGAATGTCAGAGCCCCTCATTTTCAAGGAAAAAAAGTTTGTCCCAATGATGTTCTGTGATTTGTCCAAGGGTAGATAGCTACAGGAGGGTCTAAATCTAAACCCTAGAACTACTACTGAGTTGGAAATCTGCAAGTCAGAGACAAAAGGTGTCATAGGATTATTTTGATAATATCACCTTGAATAACACTGGATAGATTTTTATTAGAGCATGGGATAAATAAGGTACAATATATGAGCTGTGTAAGTGTTTAATGTAGTACCTATAACCCTAAATGAACACTGCTTCAAGTCTTATCCTAGAATTTCCTTGGTTAAAAAAAAAATGATCTAAGTTGATTTTCTTTATTGTGAGGTTATTTATCAAATATCCACAAAAAGGAATTTTACCAACTACCCAGAAGAAAGCATTTTGTCATACTGCTTATCATAAAACTGAAAACCCTAATTTGCTGCCAGGTTGGTGTAGTGGAAGCTAAAACATCTGTAAGCTTCTGAACATGTTGCCGAGCATTGAGAATGTGTGACTGTAAGCACATGACATGAGCACTACTGTTCCTTGACCATTCTGTGAAAAGAGAGGGACACAATTCATGTCTCAGACCGTGAGAAGTTAATTCAAATTAGTACCATCAAAAGGTGTTTTAGTTTATTTGGGCTAAAAGAATATAGAAATCTCTTATCTGCCTTTTTAAGATCAAAGTTGAAAATAGATAAGAAATGACATTTAATTGAGGTTTAAATCATTTTTTAGTATTCATAGTTGTAATTTTGACTTCTCAAAGTCGACAGAGAAAACAGCCTGCCCTAATTACTATATGTTCTGCTCCGTTAGGTGGTATTTAATGCCAAACAATGATTTTAGAAATAGGGGATTTCTCTTTCTTATCCATTAAAAAGAAAAAAAGAAAGAAAGACAGAAAGCTAAAGCTTGAGAGAATATGTGAGCCAAAGCAGGGAGAAAAGGAAGGGACTCTTAACACAATTTTAGACTTCTATTTTAGGAGTTTACCAATATCTTGAAATGTCTGTGTAAATGAAATGGTCTGTCCATTGAATAGGAATAAAAAAAAAAATAAGTAGCAAGTATACATAAACCACCACACAAAGAAAAAAAAAAAAGGAAGATCAAGGACACTTGAGGTTTCCCCTATTCAGCTTTTATGGCCACAAGGTAGCAGGAAAAGAGTTCCAGAAATACTGTCTTGGATTTTCTAATGAGTTGTTGCTGGTTGTGGGGTTGAGACTTGAGGCAGTGGGCTGAGGCAAAGCTAAAGCTGCTCATTATACAGTTTGAACTGAAGCCAATTAAGTGTGCTTTGTGCCCTCAAGAGACCTTGGAGAGACTCCCCGCTTGCCTTAGAAATCAGGAAACCTACTCCTTATATTGCAGAAGAAAAGAGAAAATATGAAGACCCCCAGATGTACAGCTTCCCAGCTGAGTCTTCTTGAACAACTCACATAACTGAATGGGTATTATTCTCATTTCACAGATAAGGAAACAAATACCTGCCCTGCATTCTCAAGGAGTTCTCCTCTGGACCACACAAGACATTATTATGTTTAAGTATTTTTGAACTGTAGATGTCTGTGTAAGAATGATATGCTGGCAACATATTTGACACCTGGATAAAGTACCTGTACCATACCCACATATTTTAGGGTCCTGCTAGGAATGGGTGATTGTGGAGAATTTAATGAAGGGACTATGGACAAAGGTATGGCCAGGTTAGGAGATACCGTCCAGGGATAATGAATAACCCTGAAGGTCTTTGGGGGGTCTGGAACCTCACCCTGCTCCAACTTCACCCTGCTCTATTCTCATAATTTCCTAGGCTAATGTATGTTGATGGTGCCTAACAGAAAGCCAGAAAGTAAATTCCATTCAAGGGACATCTTCCACGCCAAGAGTAGGAGGAGAAGTGTGGACTGTGGGTCTGAGGAGCAATTGGAGAATACCCAGCACTCTAACCACCATCCGGATAAGCATTAAATAAAGTTTGCTAAGGGGGAGGTCAAGGGGGCGGGGGACAACATGACTGAGTAACCACTGTGTGCCAAGAACTTTGCATAAATTATCTCACATAATTTTAGAATATTCACAATGAGAGGCATGCTATTATCTTCAGTAGACAGAGTGGGTCATTGAGTCCTGATGGGTTCAATAATTTGTTCATGATCACAACGTTAGTCAGTGTAAGCCTAAGATAAGAAACCCATCTTGCTTGAATTCAATCATGAGTGAGCATTTATAAGGTGAATCAAACTTGTCAATATATATGCATCTTAGGTAGTATGAAGATGTATCCCTCAAAGTTGGACGGCATAAAAATACTGTAATTGGTGGAGACCCTGGAGCATTTCTTGTCCTATTTGATAAGCAAGGGCCACCACTGTGATGCTTCACTCAAATTCTGATATAACTCCTAGACACTAACCCAGGTGTGCTATTTTCAACTGAGTCACAAAACTATTTTAATTACAAATGTCTGAGAGACATCACAGTTTTGTTTTTTTAAAATTTTACTCTCAAGATATATAAAAAAAATGATGAGAATAATACATTTCAATCTGCTATGAGTCTGAGAAAGTTGCAGGAATTCTTCCACTCAACCTGAGAAGTCTCATGTACAGATCCTGGCCAATCAATTTTCTTGAAAAAAGTTTCTGCCTTCTTTGGGGAATTATATCATTTTTTTTCTCTAATTATTAGAAGCTCCATGTCAAACTCCAAAGTCCACTGTATGTCTTTAATTGATGATGATGTTAAAATGTGGTGGTACCTAAATTTTATAAGCACTCATATAAATGTCATTTTCTTTCATCTCTCTAATGTATTTGTGAGCTTCAAAGTAATTTATCTTTGACCTCAGAGGCTTCAAGCTGTTTGTGTATTTACTCCTCTTGTAGGGGAATTGGGGACTGTGATAAATTGTATGATTCTTTCACTTCCAGGGTTTTCCAAGGTAGATGAGGCTGGGTTATGATTTATACTTTAATTTTTTAGGCAAGAGTATGCCATTCAGTTTAGTTTTTAATCTATATTTTTGCAAGTTCTATTTTTATGCAATGTAATATGTACTTTTGCAAGTTACATATAAACGACTATGACTACAATCTTTGTCAGTGTTGATATCCCTGAAACCAGATAAATGTTAAAAGAAAACAAAGAATTATCTGAGTGGGGACTTAATGTATGTATGCACATGTGTGTGTTTGTGTTATGTGTGTGTGATTTACACACTCATTGCTGAATGAGCTCTCTGCCTGAAAGTCATTCTTTCATTTTTTTCCCCATCAGCTATTATAAAAACTGCCCTTCCCAACATGGACAGAGAAGCCAAGGAGGAGTACCTGGTTGTTATCCAAGCCAAAGATATGGGTGGACATTCTGGTGGCCTGTCTGGGACCACAACACTTACAGTGACTCTTACTGATGTCAATGACAATCCTCCAAAATTTGCACAGAGTAAGTGAATTTCCTTCACTGAGTGAGAATATAAATGTAGTGTTTTCATTTGAATTAATATTACAATTTTCAGTGACATTCAAAAAACTGATAACAACTATTTTTTTTCAGTTTCATAAAATATTCCTTTTTTTAAAAATTTTATTTTGTCGGTATACATTGTGGTTGATTATTGTTGCCCCTTACCAAAACCTTCCTCCCTCCTCCCTTTCCTCCCTCCCACCCAACAATGTCCTTTCTGTTTGCTTGTCGCATCAACTTCAAGTAATTGTAGTTGCTGATAACAACTATTGAGTGCCCTTTATATGCAAGGTATGGCCATTCATATATGTACATATACATATACACTCACATACATTGTGTATGTGTGTGTATATACTTATATATAATAACCAACTACCCTGTCATCATTTGGGCACTAAATTTATCCTCAATTTACAGATCTTAAAAAAGTTGAGAAAATTTCTAAAATATCAAATATATAGTAAGTCACTGAGAGTTATAACGGGCATGTCTGACTGCAAGATGTCTGCTCATTTCTCTTTTCCATAGTATCTTCCATTAAGAAAACTTAAGAGGATGATGGAAATGCAGCTCTGATAATGCTCTATCATTAGCCTCATTTGTAGAATAAAAGAAGCCAGATCTCTAGAGTCTGAAGTGGGAAAGGTACGCCTGATGCGACCACATACACTCCTTCCTGCAGCCGGGGTGGGGTAAGGGGTGGACATCAGTAATCATTTACTCTACTCCTCCCTACAAAGGCAGCACTTTGCCTCAGAAACGTTTACAACAGCATTCTAGGCAGCCACATGAAATGAATCAAGGAGACAATTATTATTTGTCAGCATTCTTGTACTTTCATGAAATGCTTTTCTTCTGAGCATTTATCCAAGTAATATGACTAAGAGAGATGATTTGGCATCAACTCTTGAGTTGAGACATGAAAGATAAGTATAGATTAGCTGGAACAAGGTGAAACCAGGGGAAGGAGGATGGACATTGCAGCTTAAAAAGATGTTCAAAAGCCCTGTATCTAAGTATTTGATTTCATGCGTAAGTGACATCAGACAATTTTTTTCTCTCTGTGTCTGGCTTATTTCACTCTGGTTTTATCCATGTTGTTGCAAATAGCAGAATCTCCTTCTTTTTTGAGGCTGAATAATATTTAATTGTGTATATATACACACCACAACTTCTTTATCCATTCATCCATCAGTGGATACTTAGGTTGTTTCCCTTTCTTGGCTATTGTGAATGGGAGAGGAGATATCTTTCCAAGGGAATGACTCTGTTTATGAAAGCATCATATTGCACACCTTAATTATAGACAATAATAATACTAACAGTAAAGCCCTATAGAAGGAGGGTATATGGCCAGTCTGGAAATAGAAAAAATTTCACTGCAGCTGTAGCATAGTGGGGAAAGTGTTCGAACAAGAAGCTGGAGTGTTAGGTTATGGGGGAATTAGCTGTACTTGGATTTGCAGGCCATTTTAAGTACCATGATCTTTATTCTAAGATCTGGGAAGCCATTGAAAAGACTTCAAATTGTAGATGGAATGATAGGATTGGCCCCAGAGAAATCAGGAAAAAGAAAATGCCATTTTCACATTGCAACCAGTTAAAATGGTGTTTGTAATCATTCATGTAAAAGGTGATGGTAGCTCTGGCAAGCAAGGGTGATCACAGTGGAAGTGGAAACAAGTGTGTAGGTGTGATACATATTAAGAGTTAATAATGACAAAAGTCTAAGGATAACTATTCACTGGACAGGAAATATCATAGGAGAACTGTTGTTTGAAGAGTTAAAGGGGGGGGGTGGAGGGGGGGGAGAGAGAGAGAGAGAGAGAGAGAGAGAGAGAGAGATGTAGCTTGAAAATGACACAATTGAGATACCTTTGCGAATATATCTGCAGAAATTCCAAGGTAGAAACAATAGAGGAAAAGCATTTTCATTAAGAATTTAAGACTTTTTACACTTGTTGATTCATAAATCAGACAGCAATGCATCCTTCTTACACAAAATTATTGAAATGGAGAAAAACATTTCTTCTCTCCTTCCCCCCCTCTTTTATTTCCTTTTTAGTTGCTATGTAGTTAATGCAGTAATATGCAACTCTTCTTTCTCAGAAAATGATTTTCCAATTCAATAGTGGCAGATGAGTTTCAAAAGCATTCTCCTTCTTAGAGGTAATAACTATTAACTATGATCACACTGATAGACGTGATGAAAATGAGCAGAATAGGAATGGATAAAGGAATGTTGCATTTGCATGGTTTCCCATGCAGGCTCCGTGATGCATGACCAGCAGCAAGGTGAGGCCCTTTGCTGACTTATTTATCTGATAAGCATATTTAAAGAGAGTATCTCAAACCTTTCCTGGAATATAAAGTTTGAAGGAAATGGAATCATTACACCAATTTTTAGAGAATTGGAAGACTTGTTCTTGACACAAAAATTTTAGGCACCCACCTTATGGCAAAACTATTTGGAAACTATTTTGTTCACCAGCTCAATAGCTTTATGATTCTAAGAGACATTTTAATTTCATAATTAAGTAAAAAAGATGTTAGTTTTATTTTTTATTTTATTTTTTTATTTTTTTCCTTTTTGTCTTTACTGACCGGTAACAGGATCGCAACCCTCAGTGTTGCGCCCGTACTGGGGACCGGTAACGGGATCGCAACCCTTGGTGTTGCGCCTGCACCGTGCTCAGCCAGTGAGCGGGAACCGGTCTCCACATGGGATCTGAACCCTCAGCAGGAGCGCCGCCGCGCTCCCAAGCAGCGCACTCTCCAGTGTGCCACTGGCCCGGCCCAAAGATGTTAGTTTTAGAAGAAACGTTACTTCTCATCTGAACCAGTACTGTTATATTGGGTAAAATGAGACTTAGTTTATCCAAGGGACTCCGTGATTGAGTTCAAACTAGAATTACATATGTTCTCTACACTTAATTTTTTTCCTTTGGGTTTATGATCCATTGAATGTTTATTTTTCTCTTGTTGTGATTGCAAGGAGATTAAAACTTCCTGGTTGTCTGAATTAGGTTCTCCCGGAAACAAGTACTGAAACAAGAATTTGATTGTAAGTAGTTTAACTTGGAGATGGTCTCTAGAAGCACCAGTGGGGAAATGAGAGAGAAGGAAAGAGAGCCGAGAAAATGTGCATTATTAAGCCAGCTGACACTGTGGGTGAATGGAGCTTCATCCTATTGGGGAAAGTCTGATCACTGTAAAGAAATATATATATTTCTTTATATTTCTATACATATTATAATATGTAAAGAATATATACATATATATATATAAAGAAATAACACAGTTATCTTACTAGAGAAGGGAGGAGCCTAAGGTTTTATATACTAAATCCGGTGAGGTCTGTTTTTCTTGTTTTTTTGTTAGGTTGGTTGTTTTCGTTTGTTTGTTTTCTCTGGGTGCAGCTAGCCTGTACGGAGATCAAACCCTAGACCTTGATGTTATCAGTACCACACTCTGACCAACTAAGCTAACTGGCCAGTCCCTTCCTGTAAGTTTTTGAGGGCTGCTTCTGCAGGGGCATTGATTCTATGGTAGGTCTGGCCTGACATGCAGTAAGCAAAATGGATTCTGAAGGCCAGAGAAAACCCTCAGACAAAGAAATGCAGGAGTTAGCAGGTAGATGATGGGAAGATGTGCACTAAAGTGTTAATAGCTGGGGGTTATGTCTGGGCACCAGCAGTTTCCTCTATGCCAATGAAGGTGAGTGACACCAACTTAGCTGTTTTATTCAACAGCTAAAGTGGTTTGCATAAAAATGGGACCAATGCCACTAATTAGACAGGCTTTACAGCCCCCCTCTCCCCCCGGAAAATGAATATACGCTGTATTTGTATTTTGCTTAAAGAATTTTGAAGGTAGGGTTTTTGGTCTTCACAGCGATGAGGACTTTAGTAACAAGAGGAGTGTTTCATGTGTCTGAACAGCTGGCTTCAGGGCACAGCAGAAGTTTAGTAATTGGATTTTATCAAAAATGGTCTACAAGTCTGTAAATATAAAGGTAAGTTCAAAAGTGACTTTCAGTGTGTTACACATTGCATCTTTCTGTCCTGAAATTGGTTTAATATTTTATGTTGGGCAACAATGAATATACCCACAGGCAGTCAATGTGATTATACAGAAATCTGGAAAGAACATTCACATAAACTCACTCATATCCTGATATAACTGCTCCAAATATATACTAGGTTAACACATGGTTGAGTAAGTTTCCTACCTCAGAAGAGTCTTGAAGAGATAACACTATTTCTGGGATCTCTTTGTCTCTGACTCTTTTAAAAGACTGTATGTTCCACAGGGGAAAGGGATATTTCTCTTACATCACTGGATTAGCAGCATCTATGGGAATGCCCAGAACAAAGGAGGTGCCCAATAAAAAAGTTGCTAAATTAATTAGTGAATGGTTAGAATTTGTGCAATGCTCAGTGTTTCTCCTCTTTTCTAAGGTCTGTATCACTTCTCAGTACCAGAAGATGTGGTTCTTGGCACTGCAATAGGAAGGGTGAAGGCCAATGATCAGGATATTGGTGAAAATGCACAGTCATCCTATGACATCATTGATGGAGATGGAACAACACTCTTTGAAATCACTTCTGATGCCCAGGCCCAGGATGGCATTATTAGGCTAAGAAAGGTAAGCTAAGGAAGATTTTGCTCATCTTCAAAATGCCTCTCTGAAACTTGTGTTTTGAAGTTTGTGGGGTTTGGGGAGATGTCCTGACAGATAGAATCTTAGAGCTGATAGATGTTTAGCTTTTAGCTGTGAGACAGGATGACTAGTAGAACCCATTTTGCACCTCCTGTCCCTTGGGGCATTCACACTTCAGCTAAAGTTTTGGTAAACAGTTACCAGGGTGATGCTAGCCTCCCATCTCACTCGGTATTTCTCTCCCCTTCTATGCCTCAGTGCTTCTTCCTAAGCCACAGGAATTTTGTTGGTCCTTATACAGGACACTTTAGCTATGTGGGGAAGTCAATGCCCTGAAGGCCACCTTCAACCCATGGAGGAGAAAAATTGGTGGACAGTTACTACTGTTTGAAGAAACTATTCTGAGGCATATTGTTTAAGGTTTCTAAGGGGTTCTCGGGGCAAACAAGTCTCAGTTGCTCACAGAGGTGACAAGTTCAACGGCTTTTAGTCTTTCCCTATGTAGCACTTCCCATTTCTACACTCCACCTTCCTGAGCTATCTTCCCAAAATACATTGACATTTTCAAAGTTTTTATTGAAGGCTCCACTTTCAGAGAAAGGACAGGGCCAGCCCTGCTACCCTTGGACTCTCCAAATCATGAGTCAAAAGTCCAAGCATTATGGGAAATGAAGCTCATCTTTGTCTTATTTCTGTGTGTGAGGCTAGCATTGAAGGAAGAAACATCTCCATAAGTAGTACAAATAATGTATGACAATTTGAGACACTTTTGCCAGCACATAGTTTTGTTTTGTTTTTTTTTTTTCTTTTTTGGTAGCTGTGAAAAATTCTGTACATTTTCCTTTGTATTTCTCATCATGAAATTTACATTCATAAGAAATGTGCAGAACACAGTTCATTATTTTATGGCAAGAAGAATTAGAGAGAAAAATACTCTTTGATCTTCATTATGATTTTGTTTAATATTGTTCTTCATATTTTTGTCATGAAGTAGTTCAAACTAATTGTTAAATCGATTTGCTAGTTCATGAATGAGAAGATAGATGGTGGACCACACTACTGACAGCCAATAATTTTTCTCTCTTTCTTGATCAGTATTACATTGGTATGACTCTAAGCTTGCTATCTGATTCTCTGTGTCATTTTATACAGGGATCTATTTCCAGTGATCCTGTTCTTAAGATTCCCTCTTGGAGAATTTTAACAATGAGAAGTATTAACAATGAGAACCTGGAGCTTTCTGAATATACTTTTTTTTTTTTCTTTTTTTTCCTTTTTGTCTTTTTTCGTGACCGGTAACGGGATTGCATCCCTCAGTGTCGCGCCCGTACCGCGACCGGCAACGGGATTGCAACCCTCGGTGTCGCGCCCGCACCACGCTCAACCAGTGAGCTGGCCGGTCTCTATATGGGATCCGAACCCTCGGCGGGAGCGCCACCACGCTCCCAAGCGCTGCACTCTACCGCGTGTACCACCGGGCCGGCCCTGAATATACTTTTTAAAAAATAATTTTAAGGGCGGAGCCCGTGGTGCACTCGGGAGAGTGCGGCGCTGGGAGCGCAGCAGCGCTTCCACCGCGGGTTCGGATCCTACATAGGGATGGCCGCCTGTGCACCCACTGGCTGAGCACGGTGCGGCTGGTCTGAAAAAGGACAAAAAATAAATAAATAAAAAATAATAATAATAATAATAATTTTAAGAATAGATCTTGGGGGAAAAGGTGCATTTATTTTAAGTCCGTGTTAAGCAACATACCATGTCCTCATACCAAGATCCTGGCCTGAATTTAGGATTAGGAGTTGTAAAGTATTTAAAAACTCATGTTTGAAATAGAGTACAGTATAATTATACT